GCTGCTGGGGCTACAAGATGCTCATGCTATTGCTTTGTTTATCCCTCAACTGGCTTCCAGAGATAGCCATCTGCAGTTTCATCTGAGACCAACCTCGCTTCACCAGATTAGGGAGAGAGGAAGAACTACATAGAGGTAGAAGACAAGAAAACCCCACAGAAGGAAAGAAAAAGGGGGAACCGCAGGGAGTGGGCAGAGAGGGAAAGGACAAGGGAAGGGGAAATCCCAAATAGGGGAACTTGAAAAGGAAGAAAGAAGAAGGGAGGGAGAGAGAAGATAGAACCACACACAGGTGCTGAGACGAGAAAGGCAAAATCCTACCACAGGGGCAAGAGGTGGAAACCCACACTGGCAGCGATAAAGAAGACACATCAAAGGCAGCAGAGGAAGAGTGGAAAGGGAAACACTAGAAGGAGGAGTTGGAAGTAGGGAAAAGATAAAGAAGTCAAATATACCTAGGAGCCTTCAGTTTTCCTTTCTATTTTCAGTATTTATATTTGGCCACCTTAGTGTCTTGTAACTTCAACAAAAATCAGGTTTCATTGGTTCCTTTGAATTCTTATTCCATAAATTTGAGAAGAAATCAGTTTCATTAGCAGTGAAATAAACACTAACTTTTATCCCCCATTAAAAATCTAATTTTCAAGACTGAGTGCACTAAACTGCATGCAAACAAACTCCACTATGTTTGTGCAAACCTTGATTTGCATGTGTACATCAGTATTTTCTTGTGCAAATAAGCAGTTATGCAGCTACATTGGGCTTTTCACATACCCAACTGTGCACATTCAATTAAGCATGTCTGCTTTTGGAAATTTAGCCCCAAAACATTTTTAAACCACCCCTCATTAAATGTGTAGCCAACACTCCCACTCTGTAGGGAACCACACCCAAAGCTGCTTACTGAGCTGCTGGTGCTGCTACATGTAACCAGAAAGTGAAATGCAGAGAGTGCAAACAGGAAATGAGACAAGCTGCAATTTACCATAGGCTTTGAGAACAGTTCATGAATTTCTTTTGAAATGAATCTTGCTGTTGTCTAGGTATGAAAGGGGGTTGTGTCTATATTTTAAAAACAAATCTTGGAAGAATTATGTTCAGTGCTGTGTTATCAGTTGCTTTTGACTGAAGCTGAAAACTTAAATCCCTCGATATCCCCCATGATGATCCCAGAGGAGCAGGGCTGGCTCTAGGCACCAGCGTTCCAAGCATGTGCATGGGGCAGCCCTTTTCAAGGGGCGGCATTCCGGCCCTTTGCGGGCAGCACTTTTCAAGGGGCTTTATTTTATTTTATTTTATTTTATTTTATTTTATTTTTTTGCTTCGGCGGCGGCATTCCATCCCTCCCCCTTTTTTTTTTTCTTGGGGCGGCAAAAAACCTGGAGCCAGCCCTGCAGAGGAGGGAGCATGAGAGGACTATAGGCCACACTCAATCATAGTGGATGGGAGTGCCAGCTTCCCCTCAGGGCGATGGCAGTACATAGCAAGGAGTCAGTACGCCATTCACCTTTAACCTCAGCTTCATGCCAGAAGAGACTGAAGAGACACTTATAAAAAGGCAGCTCTATTTAACAGTGTCACAACTTGGGCTTGCACCAAACAAACATGGGTAAACAACCTAGAATGGATTCATGTGAGATACAGAAAAGATCTGCTAACAGTTTGCTCTCTCAGTCCCAGCTCTAGCGCCAAGGCTGCCAGTGTGGCATGTTGTGTAACCCTCAGGCTTTTGGCAGCCCTGCCTGCAGCCCTGATGGAATTTATTGCAATCCTCTCGTGACTTTATTGCAAGTAATGTGATTTGGGCTGCTAATGGAGCCAGTCGGGCGATGGTGTTAAAAACTCCAGCCTTCATGCCTTCCCCATGTCCTCACCTCCTGGGGAAAAGCTGCTGCAGGAAGCAGGCAGAGAGAGATCTCCACCTTCCCCTCTGGAGCCAAGAGTAGGTATGTTTTTTGGGGGGCGGGCAGAGGGGAGATGGAGCAGCCAACACCAATCTTGCAGGAAGGGATGAGGAAGGAGAAAGCAGAAAGAGCCCAGCAACTCAGAGTGGCTCTGCTCCTTCCTCCCCACTTCTATCCTGTGAAAAAAGGGTCAGTCTTCTCCCTGCTCCTCCCTGCTCCCATTTCTATCACATTCCCTGTAACTCCAGGCCTTGGAAGGAGAAGCGGGGAGCAAAGAATCCTAGGAGCGGCCCTTCCCCACAGGCTTGGGAACAGATAGAAGGGGGCCTTGTCCCTCCAAGGCCTGGAGGTGGTGAGGAACTCCGAGAGCTACAAGATGAGCAGATGTACCCAGAGGGGCAAAGGGCAGATGTGGGACTGGAGTGGGGCAGAATTGATTTGAGGGCTGGGAGTTTCACAATTCGTTGGTGGCTGGGAATGGGCAGATGTGGGGCTGGGTGGATGAAGAACAGAATTAATTAATTAATTTTGGTTAGGAGAGAATCTGGAAGTTCTGTACCAGCTCAGTCCACCAGTGAGAACTCTTGCAGCAGGGTCAGTGTCACCTCACTATAAATCTGGAAGAGCTGGCAACACTATAACTGCCACACGTGCTGGGCTGGTATGAGATGAGCATGTGGGGGACTGTGGTGGGGTTCTTGCCGCAAATTTCTAAGGGAGTAGGAAAGGGGCAACACTCTGAAGTTTTGCCTGGGGCAGCAGATTGGCTTGAGTGGCCTTTGACCTGAGGCATAAGCTCTCCAGTACTCCTCATGGGGTCATTTGAACCCATATCATCCAGTTCACGCAGCAGTGGTATAATTGCCGCCATCTGGCCTGTCAGATGCATCCAAACTCTGAACCTTTGGGGTTTCCCTGTCACTGGGTTTATATTGTATAGAATTCCGCTCTACTGATGTTGGGGTTTGCTTCGGCATGTTTTTGCATGACTGCATCTTCATGACAGTGTTTGTTGGTTACACACACCTATGTCTTATCTTAATTTAGTTCTTTGTGGCAGGGACTGTCTTTTACCTATGTATTTGTATAGCACAAGGGAACCTGGGTCTAACAGGGTCTGAGCATTAATGTCATAATAATTAAAGTGACACACAGTAAAACACTTGCATGTAGGATTTAGTGCTGTGTCGGTCCAGTAGAAGAGTGATTTTTAAGAAGAGCCAGAAAAAGGCATTAACTTTATGGTTCTGATAACTGAAATATTATTTAAAAAAACATGAGTCATCAGCATATACACACATAACTTTGGAAGACAGGATCCTGGCTTATTTGGAAAATAGTCCATGGTAAAAAAAAATACTAAATTGGTGTCAACTATGGTTTTTCTGTCAATAATGATTTGCGTGTGAAGCAGGTAACTACAGGTCTTAGTGTGGGGCATATATGCCAACAGTCTCTGTTTTGGAGGAATAGTCCCTATTTGGCAAAAAAATCTCTCTCATTTTTCAGTTCTATCTCTGCAAAATCTTTTCCCATACAAATATATTTCAGTGGAAATAAAGACATTGTTTGATCTACCTCAATATACCACAGGTGGTGTGGGGAATTTAGAATAGACAGTATGTTATTTCTGTAATGGCAGCTTCTTTCTCCATGTGAGGAAGACGAGAAGTTCAAAATGATGGAGAAAGACTAAAAGAGGCTCTAGGATGTGTAGGCTATAAGGAACCTTACAGAACCCAGAGGTCTTGCAGCCCTTACTGTAGAGTTTTACCTGAGTAAGTGCCACAGTGGTTGGAGTAAGGGCTGCGGAGCCCATGTGAATTTTGTGCAGAATCAAGCCCCTAATCATAAAATATTTGCTTTGGCATTATACTCTGTCAGCCATGCAGGCCATTCCTGGAGCACAAACTCATGTTCTGTTAAAGTTATCTCATAACCACCCATAGGTTTTTCTCAGTATTAAAGCTTTCCTTCTTACTAGTTCTGCCTCGCTTCTGTTATCTAACAATATTTGGGATTACTCCTGTCCAGAAAGATACATTCGTTCTTTGTTCAAATGAAACTTCATTCTATTCATTCCTACCCATTTTCCCCCACCCACTCTAGATCCACTTGTATTTCTTCTCAGTCCTCCATTGTGTTTGTAATAAATTACAGCTGGCTGTGATCTGCAAAGATTAATGAGTCTTTTCCCCTCCTTCACATCATGTATGAAGATGTTAATTAAATAAAGTGGTACTCAACATTGACCCTGCAGGACCCCATTAAAATTTTTGCTGCAACTAGATACATCATTTATATAACCACTCTCTGTTTACAGTCTGTCATTCCCTGATCCAGGCTTTTTTTAGTGCAGTGTAGTCTCAACCATACAGCTGGTTTTTGTGAGTGTATTACAGGGAACTGCATATCATGAAGAGGCAGCACATGGTAATATTTATCATTGTCTAATCATGAATTACTTAATGGAGATGCTGAGATATACAAAATAATTAGTGTACAGTGAAACTAAAAAATACAAGTCAAAAAGAGAATAAAAGGGACTGCATATGTAAACAGACAAATACATTTCTGGGCAGACAAATACACTCCTGAAAAATGAATGAAAAAATTGACTGTCCAGTGGTAAAACAACAATCACACGTCATCTTCATAATTTGCAGAAAACAGCATTCAAAATGTGTGTGAATAAAAAATGGAAACAAAGTCATTGTGTAAATGAAAAGTGTCATTTTGCTGCTTGATGCTCAGATTATATTACCCCTGTAGAGTGCACATCAGCAAACACAACTATTATCTGTTACAGTGAATAAAATTGTTTCCCATCGATTGTAGGGTTAATAATGCTCACACTGGCACTTTTTCTGTATCTCTTGATGCATATTAAGTGTAAAAGCAATTTTGTTTCAAGCAAAATTGCTTTTTAATGGTTTACTCAATGAGCATTCAAAATAGCAAGAACCAAAAGGAACAATATAAATCAAACAACTTTAACTCAAAAGGTAAAATACAGGAAATAATGTCAAGCATCTGATGACATTACAAGTAAAGTCAACATTAAAAAAAAAGAGGCAAACAAAAAAGATCTCATACCTTGAATTCTTTTTCAATGTTGGCCAACTTGGCAAGCTCATTACTGAGTTCTAGAGCTGTGAGAACTGGGTCTTCGCTGGAAAGAGACAGGTAAGCAGGACTAGCCAGGCCTTTGTAGGCATTTATCCTCGACCTGGAGTGACTAAAAGAATCATGCTTTTGCTTTTCAGTGCAGTCATTGCATTTGCAGAAATAGTCATGAGGTCTTTCTATCCTCGCTCCTTTCAATAACAACATGTGCACAACCTCGTATTTTTGGCAGTGGGCAGCTAAAATGATGGGGGTGATATCTGGTGAAAAGCGGGTGCCGTCTTCATCATAGGAATAAAAATCATCATCCTGGAGCTCCTGCTCGCAGGGGCTCAGAGTCAGTCGCTTATTTGCTGCAAAACCAGGATGATTCAAAATTGCTTCCACTATCCGGATGTACCCCTTGCTAATAGCGAGCAGCAGTGCATCTCCAATTCGTGCCAAGTTCTCCTTCTTCAACAGAAGTTCTGTCACTTCCAAATGCTCATTCCCTACAGCCAGCTGCAAGGCGTTTTGGCCCATATAATCAACACAGTTGACATTTAGTGTTTTTGACTCCTCCAGCATTTTGCGCACCACGGGAATGTTCCCATACTCTGCTGCATCCAGAAAACGCTCTTCTTCAGCAGTGAGGCTTGTGCCCCTGTTGTTGAACATGAACGCCGGGCCTCTAATAGCTTGCCGTCTTCCCTTTTCCCTCATCATAGTCATACGTCTCAGAGACGGGCTTCCTTCAATGGACCTAATAAGCAGAAAAGATAAATAATTGTAGACTATTATAGCAATCATTTCCTTGGCAGTTTCTTCCCCAGCGGCTATAGACACTGATAACTTTCTCCTTTGTCTTGTGTCATTTGCCCAGCTGTCTGCCTGTATCTCCCTCTGTCCTGGCCCTTCACTCTTTACCCTTGCACAGAAAAGGCTTCTTGGTAGAGAAGGGGTCACAGATCCTTATATTGTCTTTTGCTCACAACTGAAAGGTGTTCACAGACTCATTTCGTGTAGGCCCATTTCTCCTCAAGGACCATGGTAAACTATTTTTATGTGCAACATCATTTCCTTTCAAAAATATCTTCTAAGCACATTCAATAGGTACACATAGGAAACATCAAGTCCTGTATCCGCCCCACAATAGTGGCACAGACCTGATGGTTTAGAGGAAGGCAAAATGCAAACAAAACATATGATACCTTGCACCACATGCAATGCTGTAAGTGGGGAAAACTTCTTTTTCTGACCCTAGCTGGTGATCTCTGCACATAGACTGTACAAGACCAATTACATATTTTTTAGCATGCACCACTACCAGTGTTTGGCCAACTTCTAAAAACTGTACTCCGCCTAGGGTTATCATATCTAGCAAATAAAAAAAGAGGACCCTCCACGGGCCCTGGCCCCGCCCATTTCCCCACCCCGGCCCCGGCCCAACTCCGCCCCTTCCCCGCCCTAACTCCACCCCCTCCTCCCTCCCACTCCCAGCCACGCGGAAAGGATTGCCCGAGCGCTACCGGCTTCACGGTTTGCCGGGTAGCCCCCAGACCCTGCGCCCCCGGCCGGCGCTTCCCCAGCGCAGCTGGATCCCGGGAGGGGAAGCTCCCAGCCGGGGGCGCAGGGTCTGGAGGCTGCCTGGCAAACCGTGAAGCCGGTAGCGCTTGGGCTTCAGGCAGCCCCCTTGCCTCTGGACCCTGCGCCCCCAGCCGGGCACTTCCCCTCCCGGGCTCCGGCGGCACAGGGTCCGGAGGCATGGGGGTTGCCCGAAGCCGATAGCGCTCGGGCAGCCCGGCTCTTAAACAGAGCCGAAGAGTCCGGGAGGAGCAGAGCCACCGCGGCTCTGTTTAAGAGCC